TTTCGTTTCTTGCTGATAGTCTAGCTAGGCGTTATAGAAATGAAGCGTCGAACACGTATGTATGAGAGAAACAAAACACGAGTTCATTTTAGAGCTTCGAAATTGTAGCAATCAATGAATAATTAATGTCACACTATCATAGCGCCGACTGGTGAGCTAATTCTGAGCTGATTTTTACCATAATATAGGTCTTGTCCATCTAAAAAATTTTGCCCAAGACGCGAGCCTTCTATCTAGTCAAGATATTAAGTTAGGGCAAACAAAATGAATGTCGTACCAGCACAGCTTGGTGAGTGAATTCTTAACTTTTTTTTTTTTAGTTCTTTATTAAGGAGATTTTTAGCCTATGGCTAGTTCATCTCGGGCTACAAAATGGTGAGTGACAATCTGGAAGGAGCGATATACCTAGCTCCGGTCCTCACAAGTTCCTACCTCACGCCTCCACGAGACTGCCAGCTGAAACATGGACACAGCTGGTTGGCGTAGCCTGGGCAATGTTGTCAATCCGACAATAGCTGAGTGAGGAGGTGCGACGCGAACACTGGCGCGGTAACCATAGCACGGTGATAGAGGAAATGCTTCGCCAACCCGAGCGTCTGTTCACCATGGAGGTGCGGCTCAAACAGCGTCTGACTGGCATCCAGCGGCTGAATAAGAAATGCTCTTCCCCGGAAGCTACACCTAAGATGGCAGCCCCATCACGGTGGATAGGAGACCTTAGGCCAACCACCTACTGTCTCTGAAACCTTTACAATGTTACAGAAACCAACAGAGAAATACATCGAACTGATATAACGGCAACGGCTTTTAGCGCTAAACAACGGACACGAATTGGATCATGGAATGTATTGACGTTAGCCCAGCAGGGTAAACTAGCACAACTCGCCAACGAGGCGCGACGCATGAAGCTAGAAATCCTGGGACTGAGGGAAGTTGGCCAAACTTTGGAGAACACAAACTGCCGTCGGGACAGGTACTACTATATTCTGGAATTTGAGGTGAAAACGCTCCCCGCCATCGTGGAGTTGGTCCACTACTTAGCGTCCAGGCAAGTGCTGCGCTCATCAAGTGGGAGCCTGTTAATGAGAGGATAATCGTTGCCAGATTTAGAACACGGGTTCGTAACCTTACCATAATCCAATGTTATGCGCCAACCGATGCTGCCGAGCTACAGGACAAGGAGAATTTTTACAGTCAACTGAATGCCGTCGTGGATAAGGTTCCAAAGGGTGACATCAAGATCTACACTGGCGACTTTAATGCGAAGATCGGCTCCGACAACACGGACTATGAGCGTGTCTCTCGGCGAAATGAGCGAGAACGGTGAGCTGTTTGCAGAATTTTGTGGCAATAACGACATGGTGATCGGGGGCTCACTCTTCCCTTATCGGCCAGTGCACAAAGTCACGTGGGTTTCTCGTGATGGACATACCGAAAATCAGATCGACCACATCTGCCACAGCCGAAAATGGAGACGGAGCCTTCTTGATGTCCGGAATAAACCCAGCGCTGACATCGCGTCTGACCATCACCTTCTAATCGGTGAAATCCGCCTACGCATGGCGCGGATCCAGCGACGGGGGGAGAGACTCGGGCGGCGGTTCAACACACGCCGACTTGAAGATCCAGCGGTAAAAAGGTCTTTTGTTGAAGAACTTGAGACTCGAGCTGCGGACGTTCCAGAAGGTGGCAGCGTAGAAGAACAATGGACGCCTTTATAGAAACAAGCGAGAACAACTTGGGTGAGCTGCGCACCCAGAGGAAAGAGTGGATCACAGATTAAACCTGGCAGAAGATTGAGGAGCGTAGAGAAGCAAAAGCCGCGATAGAGCGGGCGAGAACCAGAGGAGCCAAGAACGAAGCCCGCCAACGGTACTCGGCTCTAGAGAAGGAAGTCAAGCGGTCTTGCAGACGGGACAAGCGAGCGTGGGTGAACTCCCTGGCCGAAGAAGGGGAGAAAGCCGCAAACACTGGCGATATACGCCTCCTCTACGATATCTCACGACGCCTGAGTGGAGCAAGGATGAGCCCGAGGATGCCAGTGAAGGACACGACTGGACAATTGCTTACCGACCCCACTGACCAGCTGAAACGCTGGTTTGAGCACTTCGAACAACTTCTTCAAGATTGGACGGCCAACCAGCCATCAACATCTCGGCATGATCCGCCTAGGGTGCGGCGCATCACTCGCCTCAATTCCGAGGCCCCATCACTGCAGGAGATTGAAGCAGCTATCCGAAGCATGAAATCCAACAAGGCTCCAGGGGTCGATCGCATATCAGCAGAGATGCTCAAAGCTGACCCCATGCTATCCGCACAAATGTTGCATCAACTATTCTGTAATTTCTGGAACACCGCGACTTTTCCGGCCGACTGGATGCAGGGCATCTTAGTGAAGGTCCCAAAGAAGGGGGATCTGACTGTGTGCGACAATTGGCGAGGGATCATGTTACTGTGTATTGTTCTCAAAGTTCTGTGCAAAGTTATCCTGAATCGGATACAGGAGAAGATCGACGTGACTCTCCGACGGCAGCAGGCAGGATTCCGTGCCGGAAGATCTTGTGTGGACCATATTGTCACGCTCCGCATCATCCTGGAGCAGGTCAATGAATTCCAAGAGTCCCTTTATTTGGTATTCATTGACTACGAAAAAAGGGAGTCCCTTATAAAATCGTCAACCTCATCGAAGCGCAGTATGAGGCTTTCACGTGCAGAGTTCTGCATAACGCAGCCTTGTCCGACCCTATCCGGGTAGTGTGAGACAAGGATGTATACTATCACCGCTACTGTTTCTCATCGTCATCGACGAGATCATGGTAGGTGCAATTGACCGTGTACCGAACCGTGGGCTGCTTTGGCAGCCTATCATCATGGAGCATCTCAACGACTTCGATTTGGCTGATGATGTTGCTCTACTAGCACAACGGCGCTTTGATATGCAGAGTAAGCTCAATGACCTAGCCGCACGCTCCTCTGCGGCGGGTCTCACGATCAACGTCAACTAGACCAAATCGTTAGATATCAACACCGGCAACCCCTCCAACTTTACGGTAGCGGGGCAAGCAGTGGAGAAGGTCGAAAGTTTCCAATATCTTGGCAGCCAAATAGCGTCGGACGGCGGGACCAAGAGCAACATAGGTGCACGAATCAAGAAGGCTAGGGCTGCCTTTGCGAGTTTACGAAACGTATGGAGATCCAACCAGATAAGTCAACGCACCAAAATCCGAATTTTCAACTCGAACGTGAAATCTGTGTTGTTATACGCCAGCGAGACGTGGTGTGTATCAGCGGAGAACACTCAAAAGCTGCAGGTCTTCATCAACCGATGCCTGCGGTATATAATTCGTGCCTCACAACTGGATATCGAATGCCGAGCTCCATCGTCGATGTCATCAGAAGCCGATAGCAACAGAAATTCGAGAGCGAAAGTGGAGGTGAGTCGGCCACACACTTCGACGGGGCGGAAACGAAATCTGCAAGCAAGCGCTGGATTGGAATCCGGCAGGACATCGCAGCAGAGGCAGACCCAGGGGCTCATGGCGGCGGAGCCTCAATAAGGAAATTAAGCAAGTCGATAGGAATCTGACCTGGGCCCAGGTCAAGGCAAAAGCGAGCAGCCGCCCAGGATGGAAGTCTTTCACGTTGGCCCTTTGCACCGCTGGTGGTGCACAGGACCCTTAAGTAAAAGTAAGTAAGCTAGTTCATCTCCGGGCTAAATTCTGAACTAATATCTTTTACTTAAGACAGGTCTTGTCCATCTGAACAACTTTGTTGAAGACGGGAACCATCGATATGAGCAGGATCTGTAGATAGCGTTATATAATGTGTATATAAGATGGCGCAACTTGATCATGTTCGCTTTAGCGCCATCTAATGAGTCAATTTTGTCATGCACTATCCATTGTTTTGAAGTTCTTGTTTTTCTGAATATCTTTTCAGAAGGAAGCAACATCCAATTTGGTTGGGATCTCGTGATCTAAATATCTCTAACATCAAGATATGCCACTTCATGGGTATATTTTTACAGTGACCCCTCCCTATGAGAGATCCGCCTCCTACAATAAGCTTTGATAAATTAAACTGAAAGTATACTAAACTTAATTTACAAAACATTTGAGATTTCAAAAATCCGCAGAACCTTCGGTGAGATATGACAATTTGACTTTGGGGTCGAAAAGAAAAAATTAAGTTTATTTTTGGCACAGACGCAGGGAAATACCTTCTTTGTAAAAACGGCAGAAAAACACAATGATTGGTGTGACAACATGAGTTTTTACATTCAAGAAACTTCACTCAAGACGTCAACTCAATTGGATGCAGAGCGTTATTATTTTTTTCCTGATAGATTTCATTCCTTTTCTGTGCAATGTGTCGTTTTCAGAAAAGTTAGCATTTGTGATAAGCTTTCAGATAAATATGAGTTTAATTTATTTTTAAATCTACAGTTTTTTGTTATTAAAGTTCCTAAAATTTGTTTATGTTTAGGAACTGCTTTTCTATTTGTTGGTTTTGTTTTTTGTACTATTCCTCGTGGTTTCACAGCATTACATTTCAATTTTCGAATAACCCCGTGAATGTAGGAAAAATCCCGGGATTCGGGATTTCTTTTGTCCCGGGATCTTCCGAAAAGGAACCCCTACCAAAGACAAATATGGCTTTACCAGAAAGCTATGTATCTCACTTTTTGGGATTGCGAAGAACTATCCGGGTATCTAGTTGAAGCGAGTGAACTTGCCCTATGCTAACATTTCATGGATAAGAGGCGGCCTCTTCTACCCAAACTCATTGTGTTTCTAGATTTCGGAAGCACTACCTCTTGCAACTATGTTTACTAGTACGTGCAGACAAATGCAGGTGGTTTTAGGGATGCCAGGAGCCAGCCGTGACAGAGGCGTCAAAATTCTATGGAACTCGGGTTAACCGCTCTGTATATCTGTTAAGCTGAAATTGTTGCTCAAAAGCCGAATCAAGCTGAAACATGCAGCAAAAGCCGTACTTACCGTCGTAATCGTAATCATTCATATCTAACGGTATAATATTACTCGCGCTAATACTATTATTGCTACCGGTACTAGTAGTAGTAGTGGAATGCACATTCGGGCCATGCTGCTGTTGATGCTGATGCTGATGCTGATGCTGGTGCTGCTGGTGTTGATGCTGCATCTGCTGCTGGTGGTGGTGGTGCTGCTGATGTTGATGTTGCTGCTGCTGCTGATGCGGCCGTCCCCCGATTAGGGTGGGACTTGGTGTTGAAAACATTGGCGGCGGCGGGATGGGGCCAATCTCGGACACCGGGATCGGCGGTTCCGGCAGCTCCGACAGCATGATGTGATTCGGATGGTGATGGTGGTGCTGATGGCCGCCATGCTGCTGGTGGTGGGCCTGTTGGAGTGCCTGCTGGTGTTGCTGTGCGACGGCGGCTGCCGCAGCCGATAGTGCTGCCTGCGATGGCAGTTGGGATTGTTGGTGTTGCTGCTGCTGCTGCTGGTGGTGCTGAGCAGCGGCTGCCGCAGCTGCTGCCAGGGCAGACTGTTGCTGCTGCTGTTGTAGCGTCGGATGGTGCTGATTGGATTGACTGTCGGCTGGTGGTGGGGTTTTCCGTTGATTATCTTGAACTGGAATTGGAAAACGGGGAAGAACACTGATTAGTTGGCTGAGCTGATCGAGGATGATTTTCTAGGGAAGGTGAAATTGAAAGCATCACTACAAACAAGTCTGAAAGCAAAATTACAATGTACAAGAGAGCTGTGATCCAATCTATTCTATTTAATATGGTTATGATGGTAGAGTTAGATTACAGGGTATATTGTTAAGAGACAAATTTTGAAAGTTTGTCAGGGGAGGGGGACAAGCTTTCTTAAACGGATATTCTTTCTCGTATACTTACAACCATCGCTGTGGTAGCAGAGTACCCGGCGGGACAGCTTCGAAGGCCCAAGGGAATTGGGCCGTTCTGGTTTAGGATGTGTCAGCGGTGGGTGCATGCCACCTTCGATCGTCGCTGGACCGCCGCCACCGCTGGTGGCCGATGGATGCAGCGACTGTTCCACGCACGATCCATTCGCACTACTGTGGGCGTCAGTCTTTTCTTTCCTTGGCTCTGTTGTTTTTGTTGATGTTGTTGGTAGGCAAATTCGATTTGGTTCACGTTATTTGGTATAGTTTTTTTTTGGTGTAATGGCGGGCGGTGCCAAAAGTGGTAGTTGTGTTACGGGTTGTTGTGCGATTTGGAAGTGCGCAAGTTACAAGTAGATGGGAAAGAAAGAAGAAAAAAGGGAAAACCATGTAGCAAAGCGACTCAAACCGAACGCAATACACAGACTCTAAAAAAGGTAATCAGGACAGGCTCGTATTAGTTAGTGGTACAACTATTATATGTCTGGTATTGTTACAAGGCCTATGGTACGTTAGTAGCGAATGTTAGTTCTACTTGATCTAGGTTCGATTACTGGAGCTAGAATGTTAGAGCTGTGTGTCGTTGGAGGATTCCTCCTTAATGATGCAATTTTGTGTTTTAAACTACACGCTTGGGGTGTATCGAATAGCAGTGCCCACTGTTCTCTGACCAAAATGCTGCTACTCAACTACGGTGCAAAATTTTGAAAAGCTATACACTCCCATTCACTCACTCCTAGGTTGATCACGTCACACAAATCCATCTGTTATTCCTCGTAATCAAATTCAACATTCCGCTTCGAAACACAACAAACAAATCCAATCCAAGACAATATCCATCACGAATCTCACACCAATCCATCTCCCGTCCCACTCATCACGCTGATGACAACGACGACGACGATCAACAGAATGCAGCAACAGTTGACTGACATTTACATAAATACCATTTTGTAGGTCTCTCGGCATATTGAACTTGTAGATTTCAAATCGACCAAACAACACTTGTGCGTCGCCGTCTTGTGAATTCATTATGCATGAGAACAGCATTGAATTACGAACAGTTTGATTTGCAATAAACACCGACCCCAGCTAAATGATTCGATCGTAAAACGTAAGCTGCTGCTAAAACCACCAGGGGCCTCCAATTTTTGTTTTGGATTCAAAGTAGATGCAAGGAGACGCATGGTACTTTTTCCGCATGCGAAGTTTCAATTGATGCAGAACATTTCTTCGTAGTGATTATCATGTAGGCATCAAGATGTCGAAAAGTTTGATCATTATACAGCATGGCAGAAGGAAATCCTTTGCCTCAAATATGCTAAAAAATATGAAAGTTGAATTCAAAACGTCAGTGGGTGGGAGGGTAATTCGCAGCAATCACGTACTGTACGGTCAAACTCCATCTGCGTCTTACTTCTTTCCTCCTTCTCTCTCTCTCTCTTTCTTATCAAATTGTTAGTGTGGTTGAATGGCAATAACTTGGCACTTTTATTCAGAAGGCCGGAGGGGAGAGACAAATACGAAAAAGTATGATGCAAGTCGGAGGATTTGGCTGGTTTAGTGTGGGGGGGAGGGACTAAAAGTGAGTTAATATTTTCGAACTTTATTTATGAACCGCAACCTGCCACAACGCGTTCGCGCACGAACACCGGCAGTGTGGGGGAGGAGGGGAGGGAGTGTGTTTTGGAGTGTCAAGATTATTCGATGCGGCATGATTAGACATCTTGGATTCAAGTAAGGTAATTTTGATATCGATATTTGCTTTATTTGAGGTTAAGGCTAAAGGGGAATGGCAGATTGAAAATTTGTTTGGAACATTGAAAATTCAGTTTGTAGCAATTTCCAAATTTTCCCGGTTGTCAATGAAAATTCGTTAAAAACTTTTCAGGATTTTATTTGCCTGTTCTCAAGCATTTCCTTTAAAACAATATTTGAGATTCTCTCTGGGAGTCCCTTCAAAATTTCTATCGCATGCATATTTCGTGCCATCAGTGGTATTTTGTAGTTTAAATTCTTTAATCGCGTTTATCTCCTCTTAATAAGGATCATTTCGTGTTTTTAGAGGTGTTTTGGAGCTGAACATCTTTATTTATACCTTTTACATTGTTTTTCCTTTTAATTCTACTACTATTGCATAACTTTCACTTTCTCTAAATAATTCAATTTCACTAATTTACTTTCACTATCACTTTAAACTAAAACAGATATTATCTACACAGTTAGAAATTATTACAGAAATCTGTAAAATTTTACCGAAATCTCAACAGCTGAACGTTTGGTAAACTATTCTACAGTTTTCGTGTAATTATTTACAGATATCTGTGAAAAATTCACAGATATTTGTGAAAAATTACAGGAAATCCTCGAAACTGTTTACCGAACATACAGCTGTTGAGATTTCGGTAAAATTTTACAGATTTCTGTAAAAATTTCTAAGTGTGTATGACTAGACACTGGAGAAGTTTTCAAGTAGTAATCGAAATACGTATCTGTTATAGTTTAAAGTGATAGTGAAAGTGAAGTAGTGAAAGTGAAAGTGATACCATAATAGTAGAATTGAAAAGATAAAAACAACGTAAAAGGTATACAATTATTATATTATTAAGGGCCAGTTTAGGGCAGGAGACAACTCGGCGGGGCTCAGGCATTCCGTCGCGGAGATGCTAAACTCCGGGTACCCTAGGCATACGCACCGTTTTACGGACGGGTCCAAATCGCACAACAGAGTTGGGATAGGCATCGCGGGAAAGATCTCGCCAACGAGCTGCTCTGTTTTTTCTGCAGAGGCAGCGGCGATTTTCGAAGCAGCAATCACACCATCCGACCGACCAGTCCTAATCCTTACTGATTCACACAGCGTAATTTCTGCTCTCCGGTCCAACATGCCCACTCATCCGTGGATTCAGGGGATCATCAGACATGCCCCCCTCCAACACATTATTCGCTTGGGTTCCGGGGCATTGTTACATCACTGGCAACTCCGACACTGACATACTGGCCGGGGCGGGACCATCTGGGTTGAAACTTCCATGCAGGCTAGGTGGCAAGAAGAATGGTTAGCAAACCATGGACCGCTTCTAAGGAAAATCAAGGAGAGCACGCGTTCACGGAAGGACCTTGGCAAGCTGAAGGAGCAACGAGTCATCTCCAGGCTTCGCACAGGTCACACCCGGCTCTCACACGATTTCGGCGGAGGAGTTTTCCACAAGACCTGCGTCGTTTGTAATATTCCAGCCACCGTCGAGCATATCCTCTGCGTGGGGGAATATCGGCGACATACTGGGGGTTATTCCGAGAGTCGAAGTGACTTTTGTCACTAGTGAAGTGAGAAAAGTCACGTCGTGGTGACGTGACTCTCTGTGCAAATCAAATGGAGAGTCACGTCATCACAACGTGACTTTTCTCACTTCACTATAGTGTTATGTGATGAACTAGCCTACGGCTAAAAATCACAAAAATAAAGAAAAAAAAAAAAAAAAAAAAAAAAAAACTTCACTAGTGATAACAGTCACTTCGACTCTCGGAATAACCCCCACTGGGCGACGAACCTTCGATCCTGGCTACACTGATCTCCTTCCTGAAGGACGCTGGTTTGTTTTTCAATGTTTGATTCCTTCTTTTCGGCCGTCGGGGCTTCTCTACCGGACGGGGGCACCGCCTTTAACGGTGGAGCTTTGCCTTGTTCGAATTAGTCAATAAGTTAACTCAATGTCAATGGTCTAATTTGTTATTCTGCGTCTCAAATTTTAAATATCGTCCAAACAAAACTCAGTAAATTCCAACTGTGTTTTTCCCAAGACGGGCCTTATACCTCTGATATTTTTCCTGCAAAGTGAAGAACTAGCCAATGGCTAAAATTCACTAAAAAAAAAGGAAAAGATTTTCATGGTCCTAAAGGCCCACCCACAATGCATTCGTCATTTATACAGCAATGGCAGCTAAATCTATTATTTCGCAGCGTTGCACTAATGGATGCAATTCGTGTGAGCCTTAAGGAATAACTATGACGTAACAATACAAAATGTGATGACTTAGAATCGTAACCATTGCTACCAGCATCGAACTACAGAACACGTTGCCACGGAATAAAATTCATTGTTTCCGTTTTCAGAGTGTGTGCTTAGCATAAAATGAGTTTCCATGAAACAATGGAACCGTACTTTTCACTCCGCGCTAAATTTGATTAATGCAAGGTACCACGTTTTGCTACATCCATTCTGCTGCAGTCAATGGCTTCTAGCGCTGAGAACATCCACGGACTATCTGTTTCCCGGAGGGATAGATACAACACTCCTCCCACTTATCCATACCCATAGTCTGGCCGGATTTCCTTTGCCATCATTATCGGAACCGGGAGGGATGGGGCACGTAAAAAAAAGGAGAATCTTTTTCTCCAACTTCAAATCGAAATAGTGTTGTACCACCAAAGGAAACTTCCCAAGCAACACACATCCATTATAGTCAGTTGCTGTAACTTGATTGTGACTGAAATAAGTTACATACAAGTAACCACAACTGTTCAGTAACAAGTGTGCTGCTAGGGTTGTGTCTTTAACTGCATTCATTCGTTTTGCCATTCCACCCGCGTCCCAACGCATCTCGCTCAAAGAAGTTCAACATAATCGAACTTTTGTGCTGTCATGTTCTTCTTTGCTTTTCGTCCCTCTTGTTTATTTTGTTTGGGGTTTTCACACGACCGATGCCAATTTGGATTGGCGCGACGGAGAGTGGAAAACTGCGCGAGGAAAACCATTGTTTTCCACTTTCTGTCGTCGTTCGGTCGGTCCATCGTTAGGAACGACGACGTTCATCAGTCGGTTCGGTGTGCGTTATTGCCCTGATGTTACATTCGGCTAGGTTGGAAATGTGTCGATGACTTTTGCGAGTTGGAGATTTTTTTTTCGATGTATCCCACTAGCAGTGTTTGGGGTTGGGGGCGGAGGGGAAGATTTGAGATCTGTGTACAAAATAGATCATGCTGGCGCGTGTCAATGTCTGCGAATCAAACTTGTAGAAAGTATCAATTTTCCGTATCATCTACTAACGAAAAAAAAAAGAGAGAAATACGCCCGAAAAAAAAAATCAACGGTGATCAGTCAAATGGAAGATTCAATTTCAGTCGAGGGTGAATGGACGTCGCGCCGCTTTATCGTCCACCAGCAGGCACCTTTTCCCCAATAGGAAACATTGGCGTTTTGTATT